CAAAGAAGTAACCATCAAAGCAGCGCTGTAACGCATGCCAACATACCACTGATAAAAGCCTAAAGCACTATGGGAAAATGTGATCTGAACACAAAATTGGGAAGTCCAAGCAGATGCCCTGGCCGTCCTGTGATTTATTAAGCGTTGAAGATCTATAATATCCGGACCTGTATTGTACGATCCATATGTCAAAAAAATTTAAGGCTGTGGAGGAGGCCGCCATGGGCCTGCATGGGCTGTGCCATTGTACAGGGAGTCTCCCCCACATCTACCCAAACTATTTTCCAACCGCCTCGTCATTGCCATTCCAGCCCAACACTTGACCGCAGGTAGAACTCTAATTTTAGAAATAATCTATCCCAATTCTATTGGTTTAGCAGCTCCCAAACTTATCTTTCTCAGGTAAGCAAGGATTACATAGATTACTATCAATATGTGTTCAATTGATGTTATCAAGCCAAAAAAGGTTACCTCACATGAACCTCACGAAAGGTGTCAAAAATAGAAAAAAAAAACTATTGATCACCACTTGCCAATAACATTTGGGAAAAATGAATTTGGCACTTAGGAAATGTTATATTTGATTTTACCAGTGGAAATTTGCTCCTTTAGTTTCTGCACTGAATTGTTAAGTGCTATTTTGTTTATGTGACTCTTTTGCCATTTGGTCTTAGTATTATCAATCATACCCATAAATGGAAGCTTTTCAGCTTATATACAATGAGTCCAAAGGATGTAAACAGAAATGATAGGTAATCCATTCTCCACTTGCAGAGGATGTACTAGCATAATAAAGAAATGACAAAACAGAATAGCAAAACCAGTTGAAGAAACAGAAGCTGCAAATTTCATTGGAATCAACGAATCAACATTTCAGATTTCTCGATGCTAAATCTGATTCTCCCAAATAGTAACAGTATCATCTCCAACTGTTAAAATAATGATATTTCCATTCCCACTAATTAATATTGCACGCTGCCATAACGGTACTGCATGTTTCCGTTTCCGCTAATTATCAAAATCAGCTAATGTTTCATTTGAGCCAACCCACCCCACAATAACCGTAACCATGCAGGAAACAGAAGCGCCTATGAACCATAACAAGTACCCAGACCGAAACAATCTATCTCAAAGAACAAAAAATCAAAGCAGCGCTGTAACACATGCCAACATACCACTGATGAAAGCCTAAAGCACTATGGAGGAACCACAGGATAAGGCACGCAACCCATTAAGCAAACCCTAGAATCCCAAACTAGCCCTAGAGACAAACAACGATTCTAGGGAGGTCGAGGTCCCATAAACGTTGCTTTGGAATTCGGTTTGGTGAGAAATTAGGTCCGGTCCTTTCGTATTGGCCATGAAACGAGATCAATTTCCCCGCAGATCCGAAAAGAACGGGTCCATTTCCCTGATGGCAGAAACGAACCATAACCTATCTCGCAGAGCCCCGAACAAGGCACGCCAATTCCCTAATCATTCCACGCGAATCGATGGGGAAAGAACGCATTCTCACGCTTGGATACCCGGAAACCCTAGCTAGGATGAGGACGTGATTGATAGAAATGAAATCCTAGGCCGCCAGCTCGAAGGAAAAAGAGAGACGAGGAAGAGGAGCACACCAACCTGTGGGGGCACGCTTGGCGCTCGCCGGCGCGGACGAGAGCGGGTGGGTGCGCCGGACCTGGCTCCCTCCCCTCCCAGATCCTCCTCCGCCTCCTCGCGGTGAGGGCGGAACGGATCGGGGTGGACGCGCGCGCCTCGCCCACGGCGCGGACGGAGGGAGCCGGGAAGGGAGGGGGCGCGTGCTCGCCGGCGACGCTTGCGCGGCTCCTCCCTCTTCTTCGCCGGCGAGAGGCGACGGGGGGAGGGGATTAGGGTTGCGGGCACGGGCACGGGCTCGGGCTCGGGCTTTCGGCGGTGGGAGGCGAAACGACGCGGGTCGGTTGGAGTCGGACTCGGACTCGGGGAATGGGTGGGGGGAGGACAAAGGTGGCGTGGCGGTGTGGCCAGGTGAGGTGGGTGAGCTCCTGGCGAGTCAAAGCGGTGGGCTCGAATGGCAATGAAATGAGGCGGTTGGAAAAAAACGCTTGGGCTAGATTTTTTTTTGAGGAAGAAAAGCTTCGGCTAGATGCGGGGGGACTCCCTGTACAATGGCAACAAAGCCCATGCAGGCCCATAACGGCCTCTTGCACCGCCTTATAATTTTTTGACGGTATGGATTCGATATCTAAAACAATATTTGTTATGTGGATAAATTTTTTTATATAAACACAGATCCAGATACCTTAGCTAGATAGCGGATTCAGACCTATATACTATATGTCCAGTGTACGATATATTTGACCAATATTCTCAATAAATATAAATATCTACCTAATCTACATATAGTGTTTGCTTATTATTTTTTGTTACATATATGCTAGTGTTCCTTTTCTTCTAGTGAATTTTTGTGTGGTATCTTGGTGAGAATAAGTTACTCTTGGGTATGCTACCTAACTCAATCAGAATTGGTAAAAGCATCTCTCGATTTCATTTGGATTGCAACTTATTATCTCTATTGTGCCTACTCTCCATGATATAGCTTGAATTCCCTTGTTTACCCTTAATCGATCAAAAGTGTAGATGTTCTTTCCTTCCACATACATATGTATGTATGTACTATCATAAGGGAGAATTTAGTTTATGTTAGGAGGTTTTGCAATTAGCGACCAACATGCCTCCCACATGCAAAAAGGGTCACTAGTTGTAAAATTCTATCTTGTGCAATTTAATGCTATCACTTGTCTTTATAAGCATTCCGTAGATAGCATTATGATGTATAAGAATATATTCCAATTGGCATCAACTTGTGAAGATCGTTTCAATTGATGGATATAAGATGGTCCAATATTGGTTTGCTTGCATGGACAAAGGCTTGAAAAATTACTATGCACTAATATTGATCAAGTTGGAAGAATGAAGAAGAAAATTATCGACATTAATGGTATTGCGAAAGAAATAGAAGCCAAGATGCATAAGTAAAAAAGAAGACATGGTCATATATAAATGGAGTGGTCTCGTTATGATGGCAAGGTCGTATATGATGAAACACCATAGAGTCAAATGAAGATGAGCCAAATCCTGTGATTGTGGTGAATAGTATTTGGAATATGACTTGGATATCGATGATGTTGATATAGGACTTCAAATGAATGCGTAATGTTGGTTCAAGATATGATATGATTTGATATGGTGAAGATAACAAGAAAAGGGATTCCGAGAGTCTAAGTAAGGGTGAAGGGCAAGCGATGGCTTGGCGTCCGAGGTATCATGGCTAAGATAAATAAGAGAGCACTTGAATTGATTCGACGTACTAATCAAGCTATGAAAATTCATATTGTGTGGAGGATCACATTTTTGTTGTATTATAGGTGGAAGTGACTTGAAGCTTTTAATAGAACTTACATGTGCTGAAAATGGTTCAAGTCGCATGCTAAATGTTGATTTGCTCAAAGAATTGAGGCAAAGATGATTGTAACCCATATGAGGATATATTGTGAAGAAATGACATAAACATCGAAGACTCAAGTGGTTAAATTGACATATCCTTTTGATCTTGAGTATAGAATTGCATGAAAGTCCCACATGATGCTATTGTGTTGTGTAATTTTGTTTGTTGTTAAATTTCAGAAATGCCTAAGATAATATTGTACAAAGTAAAGAACACAAGTGTAGAGGGGGCACAGTCCAAAGGTAACAAGTGCAGCAGCAGTACAATTTGAGTCTCGTGCAAGCTACCTGCTTCTAATGGCTATGCTCTAGTATGGGTGTCTAATAGTCTGCCTCGCGTAGTCGCGTGTTGCAGCATGATTTTATCAGTTGTGCGTGTGGGGTGTGGACTATTTAGGTGCATTTGGATTAAGCTACTGGACGCCTGCCTAATGTCTTCACAGTCAACAACCAAACTTTGGCTTGCCTTCCATGATTCCATTGACCTCCAACCAAACGCGTCCTTTATTATCGTTATCTGTGTGTGTGTGTTTATTCCTTTATTGACTCATTGTCATTAATTATCTCTATGTGTGTGGTTATTAACAGTGTTTCTGTAAATAAATGCATCATGATGCATGTATATTGTCTCTAGTCGATACCCGACAGTCTGCTATTTTTCACGAAGTTCTGTTCTAGGCGACGGGAAGGTTTTTGCAACTGAGATAAACATGCCAAATATATCACTCAGAAAAACATGCGGCGGTCATAAGGATCGCCAAAAGCTGGCGTCTAGCGAGAAACGAGAAGGAAATAACACTACATGGCGGCTGTCTACGCAGACGCGGCGCGCCACAATGTAAGTTAATCGTCAAGCAAACGCAAACGCAGGCAAAGGCAAAGGCAAAGGCTAGGCGCGGCAAAGCTGTGGCACGCTCTGAACAGGTGGCAAACACTTAGGGTATGCAGTTCAGGTGGTACTGTGCTACTAAACATTCCGTAGCACTTCAATATCCATAGAAAATTCATCTAAAAACACTGATCGATAAATCATGCAAGCATCTACTACAATGAAAATTTTGAAGTTAAAAAAAACAAGGACAAATAAAAGAAACTGATCAGGACGCAAATACTGCTGCTGCAGCTATTCATGTCTCTTTTTTTTTACCATGGACAAACCGAAGAGCAACAAAATTACAAAAGTTTAACAATCCATAGTATGTGCTTAACCAGAGCTAACCAAGCAGCCTGCTGTACTGACCTCCCAGGGTTTAGACAAAAAGCACCCAAAACCACCAAACCCGAGCACAGCCAAGGGATACAACACCCATGACCAAGTCTAATATTTCTCACCACCATGGCTAAGATGACTACGACTTATTACAAGCCCAGACCGGCTATTACAGCTCACAGGCTATTTCCAAACTACACACCTTTCAGACGCACTCACTGCAGGATGCTTGACTTGATCGCGAGGCTGTTGTCTCCTTCCTTCTGACCTTGCTAATGAAAATGCAGGGCCACCGACTTCAGGACCTCTGCGTGTGCTCCACCTGGGAAGAAACCTCATCCTTCTGGATTCCTGCCCAATATATTAACAAGGAGCAAATCAAACATATGATCAGCATGCAAACACTTGCTGCTGCAGCTATTCATATCTTTTTTTTTTACCATGGACGAACCGAATTTCATTACCCAAGAGCAACAAAATTACAAAAGTTGAACAATCCATAGTATGTTCTTAACCAGAGCTAACCAAGCTGCCAGTTGTACTCAATCCCCAGGGTTTAGACAAAAAGCAACCAAAACCACCAAACCCAGGCACAGCCGAGGTATAGAACACCAATGACCAAGTTCAATATTTCTTGCCGTCATGGCTAAGATGACTACGACTTATTACAAGCCCTATGCGGCTGTTACAGCACACAGGCCATTTCCAAACTGCACACCTTACACACTCACTGCAGGCTGCTTGACTTGATCGCAAGGCTGTTGTCTCCATCTTTCTGACCTTGCTGATAAAAATGCAGGGCCACCGACTTTAGGACCTCCGTGCCATGCTCCACCTTGGAAGAAACCTCATCCTTCTGGAATCCTGCCCAATACATTAACAAGGAGCAAATCAAACATATGATCTCCGTGGGGTAACTCTCTTTCCTTCAAAACTGATGGAGTTTCTTGTCTTCCAGATGACCCAACAAACTGTAGCCAAACCAACACCGTACACTTGTTTGCCATTTGGTAGGCTCCACTTAATCCACAACCAAAATTGGACGAAAGAAGAGGGTCTAACAACCACTCCAAATGTGAAGGCAAGAATGCTCCACACATATTTACTGGCAGGGCATTAAAAAAAGAGATGAGATACTCGCTCTCTCTCTCTCTCTCTCTCTCTCTCTGCAAAAGGCACAAGAAGTATCCCCCCTCCACTTTCTTTTTATGAGATTGTCTTTAGTCAGAATAAAATTTTGTAAAGTCAAGGCAGCTTGGTCTTCCATATTTGTAGAGGCAGCTATTCATGTCTGATACACAACACTCAACTATTTATATGTTGATTTCTTTTTTCTGTTTCTCCCTGCATAAATTTTGGTTCAATCCCACTTTTTTGCAAAGATGGTAGATGCTTACATGATCAGTTGCTCGTATCCTTATATTTTAGCATTCTCCTAAAGGTAGAAGGTATAGCTTTAGGTGGTTCATATGCCCAAAGCCTTAGTGAACAGACCACAACGAGTCAAAAAATAATGAGAAGGGTACCGGGAACTAATGGGTCATGCCCAAAGCCTTAGTGAAAGGAAGAGAATGATTTAAAGATGCCTCCCTGTTGCAAGCAGGGACAAAGTGATTTAAGAACCCCTATTTGCTAGGTATACCTGAATACCAAAAGGAAAATGACAAAGCATTAATAATCAAAGTAACAAGTCTTAATTGGCCCCAGGAATAAAAGCTTGTTGCGTGTAATGCAAAGAAGATATGCCATTGACACCTTTGGAAGAAATCTGCTCATCGCTGCCCACGAAAGATATGATTTTTACCTGTACAAGCAACAGATAGCAGTACTTTTAAAATCATATAACCACCAATTAAAGCAAACCATAATCATAAGTGAATAAGAGCATATGTGACCTCACTTTAAAGGATAACGCATCTGTCAGTGGCTTCTTTGCAATCGAATTTGAGCAAGCAACTGGCCTTCTAATAACCGAAGGTTTTGAATTTGAGCACCCAATTGTAGACTTTGAATCCATTACAGCTTGAACTTCTGTGAATATTGTCTTCTGCTCTTGAACCGGGCTTGGGCCTCTAAATTTCCTTTTCATTGATTCCCATAATAAATCAAATACTCGGTTCAGTTCTTTAGCGACAGTATGGACATCATTGCCTGGAGGATTATACTTCATAGCATTTGAAAATGTTAGCCTCACATCTGCTGCAAACTCCTCAATGCTTATATATTTCTTTTTTGTGAGTTTATTCTTAACAGTACCCAAATCCATTGGGTTGTGGATAACATCAAAGTAGTCAGGAATCCCAAATTGCACTGGATCAACAGGATCTTTGAAAAGCCAGCCACCTTTGTAATCGATGAGCTTCCTTATGATATCTCCACACAGCCTTATCTTCCTAGTATTCATACTTTCAGCCTTGAGTTCATAAGACGATTGGTGCTCACATGTAGAAATTGGTGTCACACCATCCTTTTTAGAGAGTCTGCTTTCCTCAGCCTCAAAGACTATACTCGAGTCTCCCAATTCAATACTTACACAAACTCCCCTCCTCTTCTTACAGGCTTTTGTGAATATTGTCTTCTGCTCTTGAACTGGGCTTGGGCCTCTAAATTTCTTTTTCACTGATTCCCATTTTGAATCAAATATTCCATTCAGTTGTTGAGCGATAGCATGGATATCATTCCCTGGAGGATTATACTTCATGGCATTTGAAAATGTTAGCCTCACATCTGCCGCAAACTCATCAGTGCTTACATATTGCTTGTTAGTGAGTTTCTTCTTAACAGTACCTAAATCCATCGGGTTGCGGATAACATCAAAGTAATCAGGAAGCCCATATAGCACTGGATCAACAGGTTGATTGAAAATCCAACCACTTTTGTGATCCATGAGCTCCCTTAAGATCTTTGTGCATCGCCTTATCTTCCTAGTATTCATACTTTCAGCCTTGAGTTCATAAGACGATTGGTGCTCACATGTAGGAATTGATGTCACACCATCCTTTATAGTGAGTCTGCTTTCCTCAACCTCAAAGACTGTACTCGAGTCTCCCAATTCACTGCTTACACAAACTCCCCTCCTCTTCTTACAGGCTTTTGTGAATATTGTCTTCTGCTCTTGAAATGGGTTTGGGCCTCTAAATTTCTTTTTCACTGATTCCCATTTTGAATCAAATATTCCATTCAATTCTTTAGCAATAGTATGGATGTCATTGCCTGGAGGATTATACTTCATAGCATTTGAAAATGTTAGCCTCACATCTGCTGCAAACTCCTCGAAGCTTACATACTGCTTTTTTGTGAGTTTATTCTTAACAGTACCCAAATCCATTGGGCTGCGGATAACGTCAAAGTAATCAGGAATCCCATATAGCACTGGATCAACAGGTTCTTTGAAAAGCCAGCCACCTTTGTGATCGATGAGCTTCCTTAAGATTTTTGTGCACCACCTTATCTTCCTAGTATTCATACTTTCAGCCTTCAGTTCATAAGACGATTGGTGCTCACATGTAGGAATTGATGTCACACCATCTGTTTCAGAGAGTCTGCTTTCGTCAACCTCAAAGATTGTACTCAAGTCTCCCAATTCACTGCTTACACAAACTCTCCTCCTCTTCTTACAGGCTTTTGTCATCATTGTGTTTGGTTAGAGAGCTTGATTTGTTGTCTGACAGAGGAGCACTAATTCAAGACCTGGCAAATGGTGAAGCACTGCCAAGCCAAGAGAAACAGAGCACAGCTTTTCCTCGGTCAAGCCTGTAGGTAGTGCATTCATTTAGAAGGAAGCTACAAAGCTGTTCAACATGCCCCAAGAAAAAAAAAATAGTAGGCACATAGTCCCACACCGGAAATCTAACAGGGCTACCACAATTGATTTAAATGAGTTACTTGTTTAATTTTAACCAATTTGAGGAAATAATGAGAATTGCTGGCATATTAAAAGAACTGCATGACAACAGCACTAAACTGCATGATCACTAATTTAATGTTTAGAAATCCAAATGAATGAGGAAACTCAAATGCAGAAGAAAAGAGCAAATGATCTTCTGGAAATGGACGAATGAACTACACAAGCCACCCAAACCAGTGGTGGAGTCAGAAACTTTTAGGAGCCCGGGCGATTCTCATTATGCACAAATGTTTATCTAAAAAGATATAAATATTTCTCTACAATACAAAGAAAAAATTTTCCTTTGCGCTTTGCCGACGAGCTCGGGCTGCCGCCCGGGGTCGCCGGGCGGTGGCTCTGCCAGTGACCCAAACTAATAACAAACATAAAGCATTGCCTTCCTACCATACACTTTATGGTGCAGGATATTGCAATAGGAATTCAGGAAATTACTCATTTTAATAGCATAATTGTATGCCCAAACGAACTTCTAAAGTGTGGATATGAATCCATATCATCCAAGCAGTAATCACAACTCATATACAGTTTATCAAAGAGCAACTCTGCATTCCACTCCAAGTCAATTTCTGGACCTTCTGGCTTCTGTCCCCTAGATTAAATTAAATTCACAGCATATAGGGGCCAGGGTTTTACATGCACCATGAAAACATGCTCAAATACAATGCTGAAGGCTAAAGAATAAAATGTAAGGAATGTCCATAGCACATAGAGTCATAGACAACTAAATCATAATACATGGTTATACAAAAAAACTAAATCATAATACATAGTGGAATTTTAAAAAATTGACATATGTTCCTAATTTAGCAGCCAGGAGATCATTCCAGTGTCACATAACCACCACGATAACCTTATAACTTTCCAAGGGATCAGTAAAATTGACTGAACTAGTGTCGCTATAGGTACTTAATCAGTTATTCTTAATTATTCAAAATAAGTACCGTGAGAACTTCCAGCTAGTTTGAATAATTATCAATGCACTTCTGCGCACTTGTGCACACAGCAATACTCCCATACAAGTATACATTTTAGGGTAATGCACCAGAGGTCCATTAACTTCTGAGGGAGTGTCCTCTAGGTCTATCAACTCCCAAATTGCATTTGGGTCCCTAAACTTATTAAATGGTTCACCAGACCCCTTCTTTGGCCCTTAGATCCAACGTGGCATGTACAGTCAGCAGCTAGCGTGGCGTGCAAAATGCAATTAGCCCCTTCCCTTGGTTCCCTCTCTCCCATTCAGGGGCGGCGGGCAGTTGGAGGAAGAAGAAAAGGATTAGATGGGAGAGAGCGAATGAACAAAGGGAAGGGGCTAATTGCATTTTATGTATTACCATCCATGGCAATACAAGTATACAACAATTATTGAACATTTCATCTTTGAGCCTATGTTCAATACTTCATTTTGCATCATGCAACTATGTTCAATACTTCATTTTGCATCATGCAAGGCTGCCAGTATTTAATACGCAGATGTTTATACCTCCAATTAACTGGATTTAACAGCTAGTAGCCACCCAATACCCATCACAAAATCTGAAGAACTAAAAATTGTCATGCATAAGGCCATATTTGAGTGATAGCAGTGTCATACGCTAATGGTCAATAGCAGAGATCTAACCAAGTAACCAAACATTGTTTTTCTTGAAGCAATGAAAATATCATGTGACATGGTGCTCTTTCAAAAACAGAAGAAACTATTGATCACCACTTGCTAACATTTGGGGTGGCAAAATTGAATTTGCCACTTAGGAAACTATTTGGACATTGCTCCTTTAGTCACTAGAAATTTGCTCTTTCTGCCACTGATTTGTTATGTGCTATTTTGTTTCTGCGACTCTTTGGACATTTTGGTTTAATATTATCCCTTGTACCATAAACGGAAATTTATCAACTTATACATACAATGGTCCAAAGGATGTCAACAGAAATGGCATATAACTAGGTGGTTCCTTTGCCACTTGCAGAGGGTGTACTAGCAGATTGATGCGGCAATGACAAAAAGAAGAATAGCACAGATAGCCGAAGAAACAGATGTTTCATCGGAATCAACATTTGAGATTTCTGACTGGCAAATCCGGTTTCGTTAGCAGTAAATTCATTATCTCCAACTGTTAAAATAATTATATGTCCATTTCCACTACTCATTACCACTGCAAGCTGACATTAATATAATCATCACAATCACCTAGCATTTCATTTGAGCCCTTTATCTATAAAAAAAAGCATTTCATTTGAGCCAGCCCCAACGTAACTGTAACCTTGCACGAAACAGAAGCTTAGTGTGTGTTAGGATGATTGGGAAATTGTAACCAGGTTCAACTTACTATTATTATAATCCCAAAAATTCAAAGAAAGTAACATCAAACCAAATAAGCCCATTATATTACAATGCACGCCAATTCCCCAATCATCTCACGCGAATCTACGGAGAAAGAACCAATTCTCTAGGATGTGGACACGATAGAAATCAAAGCCTACTCCGCCGGCTCGCAGAGAAAGAGAGACGAGGAAGAGGGGAGAACACCAACCTGGGAGGCGCTCGGCGCTCACCGGCGCGGATGAGAGCGGGGGACGCCGGACCAAGCCAAGGCTCCCTCCCCTCCCAGATGCTCCGCCACCGGGGAGGGCGTTTCGAGGTGGACGCTCCCCACCTCGTCCACTGCGTGAAGGGAGCCGGGAAGGGAGCCTCTTCGCCTGCGAAAGGCGGCGAGTGAAAGGGGTTTAGGGTTGTGGCCTGTGGGCAAGGGGCTCGGCCTTTCGGTGGCGGGGGCCGGAACGAACGCGGCCAGCTCGGTTGGACCGTTGGAGAAGAATGTGATGGCCTATTGGGCTGGCCCGATGGGTGAGCTCGTGAGGGTCAAGCGGTGGGCTGCCTCGAATAGGAATCACGGGGCAGCTGAGGAAAAAGAGACTAGGCTAGTTGCAATTGCACAGCTCACGTAGGCCCATACCGGCCCCCTCAGTCGCCAGGGATGAGGCCCACATAATAATGCAGGGATAGCAGCCAGCATCCTCAGCATTTTCTTTTGGATTTTGGAAAAAAGAAACTTTTTCGGTTCATCGATCTATATTTTTTAGAACGGACACTCTTCAAAAGAATCATATGCTACTAATACTTGGCAATATGAATCTATAATGAATCATTTATCCATCTCAGGTCGCATTATCGTGCATCGTTTTTTTCCAAATTATTTCCCCACCAACTAATTTCATGTGTATAATGAATCGTCTGTTTCTAACCCTAGGCCCTAGGGCCCTCGACTATTGATATTCATCACTTGGACCACACCACCCTCTCCATCATGATTATATATTTATTATCGGGCTTGATAGCGCTCGGACGGATGGGGCGTCCGAACGCCCACGCCTGTAAACCGTTTTTCACGTCGTTTCGCGCGTCCATGCGAGACCCACGTCGCCCCAAACGTCACCAGCATCGGGAAGAAGGGGAGGGGGCGGCGGATGTCCAGTCGGTGCCGGGAGAAGGAGGAGAGACCGAGGCGAGGTAGCAGAAAGTGAGGAGGGAGATGTAACACCCGATCCACTTTTGAAACATTGAGATGTAATATTTGCAACATACGTCTAAAAGGCAGATGAAACACTTGAAACATGAATTTGAAACACTTTACGCGGGGGCACGCCGCACCAAACGTCACCCGCATCGAGAAGAAGGGGAGGGGGCGGTGGATGCCCAGTCGGTGCCGGGAGGAGGAGGAGACACCGAGGCGAGGCAGGAGAAAGCGAGGAGGGAGATGCAACACCTGATCTACTTTAAAACATCCAGATACAGATGAAATACTTGAAACATGCATATGAAAAACTTGCAAAAACACCTAAAAACACTTAAAAACCATTGTAAAACATACGCAACATCCAGATAAAACACTTGCAACATATGTCTAAAATATAAAAAACATCCAAATAAACACACTTGCATTGCAACATACGTCTGGAAAAACAGATGAAACATTGGAAATAGAAGCTTGCAACATACGTGTACAACCATTGCAACATATACAACATTCCGATCTACTTTTGCAACATCCACGTGAACACTTGCAACATACCTCTGAAACATCTGAAACACTTGAGACATATGCTTGCAACATGTGGTTTCAACGCAACATCTCCTTCCTGCTTGGGAGATTAGAGGCTCATCGGTATGGAATTCACCGGTGTAGAGCTCGCCGGTGGCGCGGGACAAAGTCGCGGCAAGCTACCCGTCGCGAGCTGCGCGCGGGCGAGTTCTGCCCTAGCCACGTCAAGCTGGGCAGGCGGAGCGCGAGATGTGTGCAGGCGGGCTCCTCCCAGGCTACGGTGAGCTACACGCGGGTGAGCTCCACCACGACTATGGTGAGCTAGGCAGCCTCCGCCCCAACCGAGACGAGTGCGGGCGGAGGCTAGCCCGGCCGGCCGCCGCAAGCTGCACGGGTGGAGCGATGTGCGGCCGAGCTTCGCTGTTATTTTTTAGAAACTACGATGATGAGCGGATAGGAGGGGGTTATTTGGGCTAGCATCATGGCCCCACCAACGAAAGCGTCCGGGCGAATGGACTCCGGGTTCCAAGAATACATCTCCCTCCTCACTTTCTTCTACCTCGCCTCGGTGTCTCCTCCTTCTCTCGGCGCCGGCTGGACATCCGCCGCCCCTCCCCTTCTTCCCGATGTTGGTGACGTTTGGGGCGGCACGGGTCCCGCATGGACGCGTGAAACGACGTGAAAAACGGT